CATAGTCTTGTGTGAAGGACCGTTGGCTCTGATGGCGATTTTTGATTTAGCTTTGGAATTAGTTGGATTAGACTTGGGGTTTTCGTTGAAATTTGAGCAGGAAGAGGCTCTAAGCTCATTAATTTTTAAGAAGGACATGTTCGCCGTATATCGGACAGGCTGTTTGTTTAAAAAAAACAACAGGTTCTCATCAACAATCTTCAGATGTCTGATTCATCGGGTCCAGACTAAATAACACCTTTCATCTCCCATTTAGTCCAGTTTTTTAAGCTGGAAAAAAGGAGCATCAGCAAAATAATTTCATCATCCTTGGCAATGGGGCTAAGAGGAATTTGTAAACTTAAACAGCTAACAGAAGCTTATCCTCTCTGACATGTTTTAAATTTAGCTGTCATAGAATAGGAGCTGTTCTGAAGTTTTACCCAGTCTCTTTAGTCTATTTATTATTACAGAGTCTTAAACTCTATCCTCAACTGGAAAAAATTATTGCAACGTTGTTCTGGGCTTTTTAATGATGAGAAATTTGAGTGGTTTTGGTACGCTCCCTGTAAAGGTTCACCACTGTACCACGTCAAATCTGTTTATGGAAAATATTTCTCACTTTTATTTGCTGGTGAGCTAATGCCTTAGATAGGTATTTTCACCTCTTCAAAACTTGTTTCCCTTATTTTCTCTGTTGCAGATGATCTTCGTATCCCGAAATGATATATTGTTTTTGAGGGATTTTCAGCCTACTTTAGTTTTGACAGCAATCATGCCTGGGGATGTTTTGTAAAACTGAAAACATGTCAGAACAGTTAGTGCAGACGTGAAACATTTTTAGCAAACACTGACTGGTATTCGTAGTCTTGGCAACATTTACATGCGCTAAGGCTATCTGAGAACGTAAAATGATCTCAGACGTAACAAGAAGTCTGGCTGGTTTTTGTAGATGTTCTGCTCTTCTGCTCAGCTGAGCGAGAACAATGGGCTGACTGTTTAACCATGTCTCAGTAATGGGTTTATGTTTTCTTACTCTCACTGCTGAAGCATAAAATAATTTGAGGTGTTGAAACAAACCAGTCAATCTGTGTCCATTTACAAAGGGGGAGTGATGTTGGATGTTGCTGAACACAAGCACAGCTCTAAAGGGAATCCCTAGTTTGACACAGGCCCGCTCGAGGTCTCCTGGGTCCATGTGTGGGTCAAACATCTGTGACTGTGCAGACTCAGCTACTTTACCCATGGGTTGGTCTGCTATACAGAACAACACATCTGACAATAGCTCTGGAGGTGCATGAATAACTGCCATTATTCTATTCCTATGTTTTATTACACTAGAGTTTATAGATCCCTCAGACGATTATTCATGACAAGCTTTAGTTTAACCTAAAAACAGTTTAACCTAAAAAGATGTAAATGAAGCTCCAAACTTTCAAATGGAGATCATGGGGTAAATTCTATTCTAGTGGAGAGGACATGTGGTTCATTTGGGCCATTCTGGGCAATTGCCCATGGAGGCATTGCAAGGGGGAACACAACATTTATATGAAACTAAACCCATATCTGTTTTGCATTGCTTTTTTTCCTCTGTCTAAATGGGTTGAGGTGCAACTTTTCCTTTGACGTCTTCTCTTATATAACATATGAACTGAGCCTTTAGCTACAGCTAGCCATAGACAATTCACAAAGTAACATTTTCCTCCTCTCTGCAGTTTGGGGCAAAAGATGGAGGTGGACTGACTCGCTGGATGCAATTTGTCCAATACCATACCTTGTTGAATATGTGTGAAACCGTTCCCCACAAAAACATAAACCCTGTAAACTTTTACTTTTTGCCCCAATAAAGCCTCAAGATATGTTATTGACATTTTAATTGATCCATCAATACCAAAAGTGCATATTATAGAGCATTTTAAAGTAGCGGGAAAACCAAACATGATTTTTTTTTTTAAATAAATAAAACTTTGAAAAGTTTGATATGTGTTTGTATTCAGCAGCCCTGAGGTGGGGATTTGAACTTTAGATTAAGGTTTTCCATTCTTCTTTATAAAATGTCTAAGATCAGTCAGAGGAGGATGTGTGGAATCTAATCCTTTTGCAAAGTTGTCAAACTCCAAAATTAGTAGCGACTCTAGCAACTTCACCATATTCTGGTTGGGCAAAGAGGGAACTTAACTACTTTGGTTGTATCCATCAAGAAGAAATATTCAGAACTTTGTGTAAAATGACTGTGATGAATAGGGGACTGGATCTCTCTCTTCACTTGATGACAGGGTTCCAATAAGAGAATAACAGTGACTGATAAAGGACACTGTTTAAGATTTGCAGCAGTTACATTGTTTGTCATAGTCTTGGCGCTGATGACTGACTTAATTATTCATTTCATTCACCTGTCTAAATCCACCCAGTTTCTAGTTACTGGTCATTTGACCCACCTGCTTCTGCTTAAGTTTAACCAGCCCACTAACCAGTCATCAGCACCAGATTACTCTCGAGCCAGTGGAGGGAGTGTTGCAGCGTTACCTTAGTGTTTCTGATAACCTGTTCTGCCTCTCAACCACTAAGCCTATCTGTTCCCATGTGGTGGGAAAATTTTGATTTCTCTTTACTCATATTTTTAGTTATGCTATTTATCCAGTGATACATGTTTTTACTCAGTTTATTTCACCTGTAAGGCTGAGAAAATGTCTGAGTGAGGAGTGATTTTAGACAAGACTTATTCCCACAACAAGCCATATTGTTTCCCCAAGGTTTGTTAAAGTGTGTGTAATTTGTTTGACTGTGACCTAACCTTCACAGATTTTCCAACAGCATAAGTAAGGGAGGCAAACTCTGTTTAGTCAGATTACGGCAAAGCATCATGCTGATATGTGAATGTGTTGTTCTCCTTTATTTTATAAAGTAAATAAAGTGTCGACTGAGTAAAATCCATCAATCTCTGTTTTATTTGACTGGACTGTATAGTTGAAAACTTTTTTTCAAAAAACATCCCATCTGATCTGTTTTAACCTGCCTGCTTCCATTCATCAGATGAGATTATTCTCGAGCCAGTGGTGAGAGTGATTCAGGGTTACCTTAGTGTTTCTGATTACTTGTTCAGGACCTGTTCTACCTCTCAATCACTGAGCCTGCCTGTTCCAATCTGATATGTCTGCCTGACCTGTCTATGGACTACTGCTGATTTGCCTGTTTGCTGAACTTTGAGTCACCAATCGAATTTCCCTTCAGAACCTTTTTGGAATTCTGATCTCCTAGTTCTGAATTCTGAGGGCATCCTTGACACCAGCTTTGGCTTCGCCATCTGGATTCTCCTGCCCTCCTCCGTCTGCCCAGATCTACTTAGTTCTCTGGGCACTGAAAACCAGGTTAGTGACTCACACGATCATAATCATCCTCCGTCAGATTAACGTGGTGACTAACCTGAGTTTTCCTCCTGCTGAGGTTCCTGCCTTAGATGTCCTCGCTGGTACTGCAGATGTGCAGGTTTGAAATAAACGCTTCTGAATTATCAGACTGCCTGTCTGCCTTGAATACAGTGCCCCCTGTTCTGAGCCTTGACACTGTTTTACTCTACTGGCTCAGACCAAGCATTAAGCATTAACAATTGATTGTCAGATAAGAAAGAAGGATAAGGCTTGGATTATTATCACAAAGATGCTGAAACTTGATCTTTCACTGGATGGTGGGGGACTGAGTTAAAAATACTTGACACATGAATATAAACTTGACAATACTGGAGCTCTGACACTAAAAGCCACAAATGGTCTGGCAGACAGAAGAGCGAGTGTATAAAGCTGAGGCAGCAGACCAGTAAGGAGCTAATCAAAAACAGAGCTACTGAATGGAACAAGTGGTGCATAAGCAAGAACTGAAACAGTAACAATGACAATCAGCTTTTAGATCTTTAGATCCGCAATTTTTTTTATATCAAATACAGGTCTGGAGTTTGACTTGGCCGTTAACACATAACATTGCAACAATTCTTTCAAATGAGCTGTTCCATTGTAGCTCTTCCTCCTGGTGGAGGCTTAACATCTGACCCAGTCTCAATCTTTTCTTGCCTCTAATCGGTTTTCCTCTTGCATCAAACCTTACGTATTTAGCTCCCTTCATTTGCCCATCAAATCTGAGGGGCTTTGCAGTCTTACCTAAAGAGAACTTTCCCACAGGATGATGCTTTCAATCCCATGCTTCCAAATGTGGGTAGTGTGTCCACCTTGTGGTGTTGTGCCAGTTCAATTTTGGTCTTATCTGAAAAATAAAAAATTGTCTTTCAACTTGTTTTTCCTTTGACCCTTCTTGCAAAAGTGTCTTTCTTGCCTCTTTTTGCAGTGTGGCCGGTCAGTTCAGAACAAGTTCAAGCTCTAGTCCTCAAGGGCTGGTGTACCACAGGTTTTGGATCTGTGCTTCCTCAAACATGGCCTATTGCCTGATTCAAATAATTTTAGTGTTTCTTTGCATGTAATCTAGCTCTCACATGGATCACAAAGGAATCGCGAAGAACATTGACCCTTGAGGACTGACCGTAGAAAAGATTGACTAAGCTGTCGTACTCTATCAGTGTGCAGACGATGTACCAATCATCATCTGTTTAGATCATTGCAGTAATGTGTTTACTGCAATAACTACATGAGGTTTGGGGCCGTAGTGTGACCCAATATGACAGCGTTTAGAGAGGACATTCTTCTGCAAACTTGAATGTGCAGCTTGTTTTTTTTCTTGTTTAAGAAACTGAGCCTAATTAAAACATAGATTCAACAACATGTAATCCTATCAACATAGCATGATGGCAAAAACAGTTCTTTGGAGTCTAAGGCTGGGTGGGGTTTTCATTGTCTATTCATTAAAGTTGGTGAGGAGGAAGGGCAAAAAGTGGAAAATTTGAGAGTTGAGAGCTGAGACGGACTGTAGTGCTTCTGTTAGGTGAGAGGAGGCGGGGGTGGGGGGTGGAAGCATGTGTAACTGCCGGGGCAGTCAGAGAGGGGAGGGGAAATGAAAATGCTGCCTGGACATTCCCACTCTGGGAAATCCAGTGCAGACTGTAGAGGAGAAGAGAGGAGGAAATGTTAGTTCTTCTCTTTATAGGCTAAAGCTCCTTTTTGAAAAGGCAAAACATTTATGCTGGAGCAACATCTGATGAAGGATATGATGCGAGTGGATGATAAGTGAGGGGAGAAAGTTTTGTGGACAATGCAGAGAGGAAGCGGAGCCAGGGAAAGGAACTGAGGACCATGTAGGAATTCCTGACTGAAGTCATGGTAAGCCTCTGAGTTTTATTGGAGTCTTTGTTTGATTGAGAAAGAGACTCCATCAAGCTAGTTCCCCTTTTCATAAAATTCATATAAAGGTTTCTAATAATAACTGACTTAAATTAGCATTGCAGTGCAACAGCATCAACACAGCTTGAAATTTCAACTTGATGCAATCAGGAAGTGTTAACCTTTAAATCAGTACTTTAATGTTTCTAGAAAGTTTCCTTAACTTTAAAATCAGTATGTCTTATATTCAACTTTGAGGTGACAAACCAATTCCAGGTAGCATATAATTGTGAAATGGAAAAAAAAATCATGCACATTTGTTGTATTATTTGTTTAAGAAATTTACATCTGAAAGGTGACAAAAATGTATATGTAGCAGAATTCACTTTGACAAAGTGGAAGTAAAAGTAACTGTAGTTTTGGGGTTTCATATAAGTGGGAATGAATAAGCATAATGCATCCACATTTTAACACAGGACCTTTTTATATGTATTTTAGGTAGGCTTGCATTGTTTTGAGCAAAAGATTATTGTTATATTCCCACACGCTGTAAACTATGACACAATATCAGTCTTGTGATGTTGGTAACTTTTGTGGATGATTTGCAAAGGGAGCCAAAGAGCCTTCTCTGTTGCATCCCTTGGGAGTGTATTCACATTCCCCCACCCACTTATGGTCTGAATGATGACACTCAGAGGCACAGAAAGGGACTGGGCCATGCATGTTCGTATGAACTTAACATGAATTCAAGAGAAGAAGAAGTAGGATCACAGTGACCAAGCTCATATTCCAGCTTCTGTGTGCCGTGCAGGGTGGAGCTGTTTGGCACTGACAAGAAGAGAAACAAAATCAGAGAGAAAGCGAGAGGGAAGAATAAAAGCAGAGGGTAGGGCTACTTTTTTTATTTTAGGAGACTTGGACGGTTAGAAAGGTGGTTTCAGTGATGCCGCATTTTCCACACTGGAGCAAGGAGAAAAAGGAGAAGAAGAGGGGGAGGAAAAAAGGGGGAACAAGGAGTGGCATGGTCTGAAGAGAGGGAAGAGCATGTACTCTGCAGTTTCTTCCCCCATTCGTTGACCAGTTTGGGAAGCTTTAAGACAGGAAACAGTAATATATGTGTGTGATGAATGCAAAGAGTCCCTGCAATGCAACACAAAGTACAACAGGAAAGTAGAAGTTAAACTTTGCTTCATTATATGTCTTAGTAATAAGAATCTGAAAAGTGAGCTTAGCATTTCATCTACATAAAGGGAAACCATTTACCCTTAGAAGTCAGTAAATTAGTAAACAGAGTCCAGCTGTGTGAATCTAGCTCTTCTGTGAAGGCCTTAAAGAGACATTACAGAGTTATCTAATGATACTGCCACCCGTGGCCAAAACACAAAACTGCAGCAATTTTCTGCTCATCCTCTTAGCTCATGCTCGTGTTTGACAAGGTTAGTTTTTTACTGTTCTCACCTTAGTTGGACTTACCATTCGTGTCTTAGTTTAGCTACACGTTGGTCTCAACAAAATCTATCTCAAATATAACCCTTTAATTATTTGTTTGTTTGGACGGGCTTGAGGCCACAACCACCGAACAGCGCAGGAACTTCTGACCCACGGTACATTCCGGAAAATAGGCTTCAGATGCATCAACTCTGAGCTATTGAGGTGAACGTGTGCTCATCAAAGAATTTCTTTTGTCGTATAGGGCCAAATAAAATGGCTATCTGATAGATTTTACATGCCTCTTTAAAGGTTTAGTGAAGAAAATAAGGTTACAAACAGCATTTTAGGTAAACAGCTATAGAGAGTTTTAAGGTACAGTTGAATTCTAAGTAAAACATCTGAAACTTTGAACATCTCACAAGGGTCCAGTCTGATCATAATCCAAAACTTTGAAGAGTTAGGCATAATGACATGCCTGAACTAACAGGCAGGGAAGCATTAAGAGGCCATGGGTAACTCTAGAGGAGCTACAGAGATCCTCCGCTCAAGTGGGAGAATCTCCCAAGTGGAATTTTATGACAAATACTAATTGGGCACTCCCCAGATAAGCTCTTTTCAAAGAGGTGGCATTATGCTGTAGTAATATGCTTCTTTAGCAGGATCGGGAGAGCTCGTCAGATGCAATGTGAAGATGGAGAGAGCTAAACACATGAAAATACAGGAAGAAAATCTGTTGTTACAGGCTTAAGACTTTGGAAATAAAGTAGGAATACACAGGTACAATGAAACACCCCAACAAAAAGTCCAGCCCTAAATCAACTGAGAATATGTTCCTCATTGAATCTGACAGAGTTGGAGCTATTTTGTCAAGTAAGGAGTTTTAAAATGACAGTTGCTGGATGTGCAGCAGTATAGTATAGAGAAGTATAGTCTATTTACATTGAAATTTTGTTCTAAAAATGTTGCCTGAAGATTACAGGATACCAATCTTCACTTCACTTTTCACCATCCAAGAACCATGCATTCTTATCTTTCCACCCATCCAATGACTTTCCACTTTGTTGGTTAGTAATATAATCTAAAGAGAAACATTAAAGCAGCAACTTGTAACTTGAACAGGTTCACGGGGTGGGAATACTTCTGCACTGCATTCATATTGTAGATTCTGGTGCACATAGGTGTTATAAAATCTCCAGCAAGTTGCTCTGCAGACAAACACAAAGTCCTACTGCCAGTCACATATCGGCTCACCCTTGAAAAAAATATGTGGCAGAGGGTATTTCCACTGCTGATGTCTGGAAAGATTTGGTAACCACCGTGTACAGCGCAGCCTGTGAATTTAGTCAGGGGATCGACCGCCTAATTGAGCTAAATGAAGATTAAAACAAACAGCTTAACCCACAGAGGTGAAGATAACAAACCAGACACGATCAGAATCACGCTGTCAGTCGCAGGAATCGTGCGTTAACGGATTTTCCTGCAATTGTCCAGAACACAGTGCATGCAGACAAATAATGGCCATGTTCCTGCTGAGAAATTCTCAGCTTGTGACTGTTTCACTTGAAATCTGTGCCAGCCTCATCATCTCACCATATCTTCTTAATGGGATTAAGTAGTTGCTACAACCCTTAAACATCATTGACATAGAGTATTTCGTCAAGTTTCAACCTTGGATATCTATTTTAGCATGTGTGTTTTCTCTATAGACATTGCCTCATTATTAACAGCGGAAATGCCACGATAAAACCAACCCTCACTTATCTAATCACAACCAAATAATTGACAAAGACAGCATTTTGGCAGAACAGGGCATGTAAAAGCTAAAAAAAGACGATTCCCTCAGGAGTGGTGGAATAACAGCAAATCAGAGCAAACAGGATAGAGGGAAAATTTAGTGAGAGGAAAAAAAGGCACATGGGAATAAAGTGACGTTCAAAACATTTCAACAAGTAGGAAGCATCCAAGGGGAAAACAACTTGTAAGACCTATTTGATAACAGGAATATACAGTCAATGAGCCAAAACAATTTATGTCAACTGACAAAAGAATTTATTCTAATCCTGAAGGCTGCAAATGTTAAACGGGACGTTTGAGTTTCTTTCTGATTTAAGATGACAATTTTTTACTTTTATTTGTTTGTTAATTTGGTTGTATAAATTATAAATGATTTAGGGATGCATAAAATAGTAATATTACTTGTATTTTATTTGCTAAAAATGATTATTACCTATTAATCATTTTAATGATGAATAGGTGAAACCTTTATAACTATTCATAGCCTTACAAGTACAAACATTTAAAAGATTCTGACTTTTTTCTTCATTAGGTATTTTTCGGATTATTAAAATAATCTCTTTTTACGATAAAAAACATAACAAGAGAAAATGTTTTATGCAATGCCTGATTGTTTTCTGTCAGGGATTTACATAAGATTAGAATATATGTCTAAAAACCATCTCAGAGAAAGATCATATGATATGTTTGTGGCTTGTAAGGTTAATTATGGGTTAATTTCACAACAAATTGAATGAAGGCACATCTGTGGAAGTAATTGAGGGAAACACCCTTTCTTGTTTGGCGTCATCAACTAAGCAATCAGGAAGTGTTAACCTAAAAACTCTGGTTCTTTCATGTTTCTAGAGAGTTTCCTGAAAAACATTCAGAATGTAAGCTTGAGTGTTGGTAATTCAACAGCAGCTGAACAAGGAGAGAAGTGGTTATTGGATAATCAGGAGGGTAACTGAATGGCTTGCAATGTCAGAGTAAGCAGACCGCATTGAGGGAAAGGGGATACTGGGGGCTTGTTGAGGGAGGTGTGGTAGAGAGGATTGGTGCTCAGGAGGGATTCCCATTAAGCAGCTCAGAACAGGGTTGAAAAATTGAGGCATGGACCGAACTTAGCCTCAAGACTTATTAACTTAAAGTTATATTGGAGGATTTTTGCTCATTTTTAAAAAGCACTGCCCTCTCCTCTTAAAAAAAAAAATGCACATTCACAACCCTGTACCGGCTCCTGAGAGGGAACCCCTTTTAAACGCGTGCAAGAGCATGTACGAACCCATTTCTCCTTGGGCATGCTAAGTTTAAAAGTTGCTCTTTGCATCACTCATACAAACTTACTCTCCAAAAGAAGATTTGTAAGTGAAAATGGGGTTGAGGAAACATCACCTGAATGATTGACAATTAAGAGGACCACTTGTTTTGATGACCCACCCACAAAACAATGAGTCAAACGTCTCCCACCAGCTCACTTCCTGGGCCGTGTTTATCGTCACAAAGAGGTGAACAGAGGTTCTCCTTGTGAAATTTTTTCCATCTTTCTGCTGCATTTGTTTGTCTCAGCGTGAACTGTAAAATAAAAATTAAAGCTATATGGTTGTCCCAAATTCTTTGCGTGACAGTCGGTATAGGGACAGCTGACCCTCAGAGGGATTAACAAAAATACATTATTTTGTGACATGTACTTTGTGTGACATATACAAATTTCTTCACCCTTATTTTGAGTTTTTTTTATGAGTTTTTCAGCCGTTCGCCATATTTGCAAAACTTTTTTTCTACCTGTTTTCTGG